ATCTATTTTTTCATCATTTTCTTTATCCATGTTTATATATATGTCCCTAGGTAAGTTAACTTGTCCATTTCTCACCTCTTTGCTGATTTCTTCCAAATTCTTGTATACTTTCCCATGGTTTTAATGATAACATAAACTTTTTATTTTTCCAAGATTATTTCATAGTTAATGATTTTGTCTATTTCGTGGTGTTTGATTTATTTTCATTTAGACTGATAAATTATTAGTTGATTCAGTGAGTGGTTATCTTACACAGGGTTCTCTAGGGAATCAAGAGCAGAGAAGGTTTCAGACAAACACACATCACTTATGCAAATGGGCAAAGCGAAGTGAGGGCACGTTGCCTGCCCGTGGGTCAGATATTAAACTGGGGGCCTTTTCTGCTGTGAGACATTGGGGGAGATAATGAGCTCAAGGTAGATAAAAGACAATAGGGTAATGACTGCAGAAGCAAATTGATCCTAGGTCATCCAGTCAAGCTTTGTCTTCAGAGGCAAACAAATCCGAGATCTGCAGCTTAGATGGGAGGCTGCTGACGACACCCAGTATCGGTCAGGGACTATAGTGGCCCATGGCTCATATCCAACAACGAAGAGGACCGTGTGCTGGAGGCAGGATCCAGACCTAGCTAAAAGCAAGCAAGCATTACAACAGCATCTACTTAGAACACACCCCTTAAGAAACTTCCTATCAGTTGATTGCATAGGGGCTGTGTTCTGAGTAATGTTAAAGATGTTACAATTCACTCTAGCCTTAAAAATGATTACTCGCACACAGTTTACCCTCTTATGGAAATGATGACATTTTGTTAGATCATATCATGAGGAATTACTAGGCCTTAGCTGCCAAATCACGGAGAATCCTGGCCAAGCTGAGTTGACACAAAACCCAATTGTGAGTGTGGTATTCAAAATATAGTTCCTGGATTAGAAATATCATCACTCTTTGCTAACTTATTGGAAATATAAATATTTCGAGGCATCTCACACCTCAAGCTCAAAAATCAAATGACCACCATGTGCATTCAAATATAGGGTTCCTGAAGCTTGAGAATCTTAACAGGAGTAGAAAGTCTCATCTTTCCTCCTTGGCTGGTTGCTTTGAACCACTGACCTTGGAGTTAGCCGTCTAGGGCAGAGCCACCAGACTTTCAATCCTGAAGATGGGTCCTCAGGGTCTTTTTTCAACAAACTCTCTAGGCTAAAATGATGCTTGCTAAAATTGGAGAAATACTACATCAATATAATTTCCAAAATTAATAAAACATTTCAATGCATTATTTAGTATTTTCATAACACTACATTAAAAGATTGGGATATATAAAGTTTTGTTTTCTTCTGTTTTATTTTAAATGTTACAGTAGACTTTCTTTACAATTTTCGATGCTTTTTAAATCAGAAAAGTATAATGCCGTTAGTGGTCTCTGAAAATAAAGGTTAAACTTTTTATTTTAAAGACTTATTTCAGAATAAAACACATTTACTTTAGTGTTCATTTTACCACCATTTTTAACATCCAGTTAGCAAGTTCTTAAAGGATGAACAAAGCATGTAACTATAGAACCAAAATAGAATAGCACTGCTTACTCCTCTGGTCGCAGAAGATCACGGGATCCACTTATGCATTTCTCATGTAATACATATTGTTAGACAGACTACGTAATCAGGAAGAGAAAATCCCCATGGCATGTCCTTTTTGTCATGCAATGTGTCTTTGATTATCAAGTAGCAAAGCTTAAAACAGGAATGGGTCAGCATTCTGCACCTACCAAAGTAGTTTTTAAGAAACAGTTATTCCCTGCTTCTATTTCCCCTCATTTTCTGCCTTAAATTTAGACATACCGTATATTCATACAGAAATTTGTGAATGCAACATTTGATAGTTTTTAGCACTTAATGTGTGTTCTGTTTAGATTGTTATATGTAAAAATTGCACCATTACTGGAAATGGGTAATAGAATTATCATGATGTAATAGATGGAGAAATATGGACCAGGGATGTAATGTCCAAAGATAACTCTAGCAAGAAGCCAAACGAGTACTTGCATTCTGGTAGTCTAACCCTAAAGACAATTGTAGTAAGTACCACACTACTTTTTGGGTTTGCAGTTGGAGAGGAAGACCCAGGGTTAGGATGGGAAGGGGGAGGAAATACTGAATGAATAAACATTTTAAGTGTTCTGAAACAAATTTTCCTTCTACTGAAAACTAACCACTCAAACCCAGTTGTGCTACAATTATAACATGTTTCTGATATGCTGAAATGGACACATTATTTGGACATAAGCATCCAAATGTTTTCCTCTTCTTTGTCTTCAGGATTTCTAATCCAGGATGGCCCTTTTGGATCTTGTGAAAATAAATACTGTGGTTTGGGGAGACACTGTGTTATCAACCGAGAGCTGGGGAAAGCAGAATGTGCCTGCCTGGAGCACTGCAAGCGGCACTACAAACCTGTCTGTGGGTCTGATGGAGAGTTCTACGAAAACCACTGTGAAGTGCACAGAGCAGCCTGCCTGAAAAGGCAGAAGATAACCATTGTTCACAATGAGGACTGCTTCTTTAGAGGTAAGTGCTGGGCGAGCCTGCAGTGTAATCCCCTTGCATTTCTTTCCTCATCTGGACTGGTTTCTCTGAGTTAAACCCTAGCCTCATTTTATATCAGCAAGCGACGGTAATGAGGTAAAGAAAAATTATACCAATACATAGCAACTACATGTCAATTCTACCTAGCTCCATTTGTGATGATCAGCTATGAGAATAAAACTGGCTAAAATATGAACAAAAATTGCTATGTCTTGCTGCCTTCTACCATATGGCTCCTCAACATTAAAAAAAAAAATCATGACAGTTATTTTAGGGACTCAGAGTGGCCAACTCTGCCAACAGGCCAAATCTACCACTGGAAATCACCTGGAGTGGAATTGAGAGAGCAGTGAGTGCCAGACCTGCTGGGATAGCATCTCATTCCTTCCTGATTAAAGACTCATTTCCGTTTGTATGACCTCATTCAAATTATAAGCAGCTCATCAATACCCATTTAAATAACTTTGGTGAATCTGAGACTGAAAAGAGTCTTAAAATATAAAGTATTCTGTGATCCTTAAAATCATTGGAAGGTATTTATGCTGGTTGCATTACTGAAATTAACAGAACTCTAATTTGATACATTTTTTAGCATGCTATATAATTAAAATATTAAGGAATTCTAACACAATCCACTTATTTGTAGGATTATTTGTCTGTTTCTCCTGGAAACAGGAGCTTATGTGCTTGTTAATGGTCATAATTAACACTGAAGCTCTAAGAAGCTAAATATATATAAATTCCATCATTCTAGCAGGTCAAGAACAACTTGGTTTTTAATTTGAATTTTCCCACCCTATATCTAAATTTCTACAGATGCTCCTTGAAATAGGCTATACTTAGAAATATGTTTGACATTTTTATTCTGCACTTAAAGTTATTCTAAACCTAAAGTACTATAATGCTATTACACTTTGCTTCTCTACCTATAGATTAAATATTAATTATGGATTACTTAAATATTTTAGTTAAAACAATAAGTTGAAATATTTTTTAACATTTTATTGAGGTGTCTTACATCTTTTGTAACAATCCTATATCAAATGTATAAAGCTCATTTGTACATATTTTGCCATCACTATTTTCTAGAAATTTATTTTCTATTGAGCCCTTGGTGTCAACTACTCTCCCCCCCCACCCCCCCACCTCGTGGTTCCTTGATAAATTATAAATTATTATTATTTTCTTATCTTACACCAATCTTACACCAAATTATTATTATTTTCTTATCTTACACCAACTCCCTTCCCCCATGGTTTCTGCTGTTCATCCCCCCCTGGGGGTGAGGTGCAGTCATATGTCGATGATCTCAATCGGTTCCTCTCTTCTCCCCTTCTCTCCCCACCTTCCACCTGCACACCTAGGATTGCTACTCCCATGGTTGTTCCTGGATTCCATGTGTCCTGAGCTCTTATGCCTTATCTGTATCTGTGCACATGCTTTGGTCTAGCCCGCAGTGAAAAGCAGTACTAGGGTCATGAGAGTGGGCGGGGG